GAAAGCAGTACCTTTAGTGCGGATAGTAATCACCACCCAAATCTAAGATTTTCTGCCACCGTTTTGGCAATTTTTCGAGTCCAAAAACGGATCAACCTCATTTTGTGTCCTGTGCAGAATGGAAGATAGCATGTCCTGTGCAGAATGGAAGATAGCACCAGGAGGATGCAGCTGCAGGTGTAAAAAAAAGGTACAAGTCCGAAGGAGCGATGTCGAAGCTATATAGTGGGTCCCGCAAAAGATCCCATTCCAGTCCGTACAGAGTCCAGCCGTTGAATGCAGACACAAGTGTTCTTGCATTATCTTGATGGAACATTACCTTTTTGTGCTGTAACTCAGTTTGACGTTTTTCCTTATTGGCAGCGTCAACACGGACTAGCTGTACACCTTACTGTCGAAGGTTTTACCTTTTTCCTAGTACTCTTTGTGGATAATACCATGGCAAACTAGATAAAAAGCAAGATCTTTTTGTTAGTTAAATTGCGCTTTGCGACGCTGCCGATGGGCTCACCGGGCCCTGATCAACCCACTTTTCGGCCTATGTTGTTGAAGTAAATCCATTTTTGATCACAAGTGATGATCCGGTCCAGAATTTTGTCCTTACATTGATATTCTATCAGATTATTGCTGGCCCGAAAATGTCTGTACTTATCTGCTTGAGTCAGCTCATGCGGTACCCAGCAACTGAACTTTTACGTTAAGTTTCAACGATGCATAACGCGACTAATGAACATGGCAGTAACGTCACTAACTCCTTAGCAAGCTCTCGAGTGGTTGCATACTGATCTTTTTCCACAAGTTCTAGAAGGTGGACCTCATCAACATCAGTAGCCGGCCAGAGTGCTCTGCTTCTTGAATGCCATAGTCCTTGTTTTTGAACTTTCGGTACCAAATCTTCACAGTGTCATGTGGTATAACATTAGTACCTAAAGTACTGAAGTACCTAAAGTCATGTGGTACACATGATTTGGTGACATTCTTTAGCTGATGTTTGACGTTTTGACGTTTTTTGATTCTTTAGCTGACGTTCTTTAGCTGACGTCTTTAGCTGACTGGAAGTAAATGATGATTCTAAATCTGGTAGCGTGATAGTTCTATTTCAGACACCTTGTACTTAATCATAAGGATATTTTTTTATAAATTTCACATCACAGTGTTCTAAAGCAAATCTTTTTCTTTTCAAAAATCTTTTGACAATATATGATTAAACACGCCAACACGAACTGTTTGCGCAAACGATATTTGCGGCGGCGGGAAACTTTCGTTAAACCCCGATACATACAGAAAGCAATTATATTTATATAAAATACTACAGAAAGTAATTATTTTATTTGCTTTTATACTGGTCTTAACAGATTCTTGACAACTTCAAAATTACTATAAGGAGAAAAACTTGGAAGTTTGCTTTATCTAACCTTTAACACTGCACACACAAAAGTCATTCAACATTTTGTCATACTTTAAACATATTCTATCAGCACTCCTGTTGCATTTAACACTGCTTCAAGTAACTTTAGCTTTTAAGAAGGAATTTTAATAATTAAGTACATATATACTATGTATTATTGCAATACTCCCAAACAGTATTACAGAAGAATGTAACAAAATAGCCAAACCCGCATTTTCTCTAAAAATGTCCCATTACTGGAAATAGCCTATTTAATAGTCTTTGCCTATTTTTCAATGAAATATAAAATCTTATAATGTGTTATTAAAAAAAACTTAAGTAAGAAATTACTTTCTATAAGCAGTTAAGGTAAAAAAGTATTCTTATGATGGGCTTTAGTAGATTGTATAATGGAACAAATTTTTTATGCGTTTCTGACAAATTTTTCAATAGCTTCCATAGTCACATAATGTAAGACTTCTTTTACTATTTTAATTTTACTATTTTGTAATTGAAAAATATTATTTTCAGAAAAATTTATTTTTTTGAAATATTTAAGTCAAAACACTTTCTACCATTCTGGCAACCAAATATTATGCTTTTTATGAAAACATAAAAATATTCTGCCATTCCTCCTTATGGCGAAAGAAATAACATCTGCTACAGATAGAATGTTGAATGCATATTATAACTTTAGACATTGCTTCCAAATAGAAAAGAACTCCAGATATTTAAGCAAAATCATATAATTCCGCATATTTTTAAGATTTTAGACCAGATTCAATTACTTGGATCATGAGTAGAATACTTCGGCTCAAACATGGATATATATTCGACAGAAAATGTCTGATGTGAGAGATGCATAAAAGTCAGTTTAAAAGATAAAAATCGATGAGCATACCATCAAGCAATATCAAAATTTGTTGTGAAATCCAAACTATTGACTGCTGAATACGTGTCTGATCATAACTGTTTCAAGGCTCTTTAGTAAGACATACATTGTTTGTAAAAATGTTTTCAAGTACATCTAAAGCTAAATCTTCAAAAAGGTGAAACATTCTGATTTCCATCTGTTAGGAAAAATGTGTATGCCTCCAGAGGAAAAATAAGGGTTTCACTGAATTTTCTGTATAGTATGAAAGAGTAGATTAGAAAAAGGACAATAATAAGAAGAACAAATGGTTCATTACCTTAATCTTATTTCGTAAGGCTTCATAAATTATCATAAGAATACTCTTTTTCCCATACATTGGTTATACAAAATGACTTCCTTACTCAAGCTCTACAGTAATACATTACAAGATTTTGTATTTAATTTTTAAAAAAAAGTTTTACTTTTCCCAATAATGGGACTAAGAGAGAATGTGAATTTGGATATTTTGTTACATTCTTTCCAAAACTGCCTGGGACTGTTCGAATAATGTGTAGTATATATGTACTTTTAAAAAATCTTGCTTGAAAGTTGTTACTTGAATCAGTGTTAAATGTAATGAAAGTGATAATAGAATACACTTAAAGTATTACAAAATGTTGAATACTCACTTTCAAATATGAATGATATCAAACTGTATTGTTAAAGTTATGTAAGGAAATTAAATCAAAGAGGTAAAAGTATATTTACGGATACCCCTCGGCGAAAATTGGCGATTTTTGGCGGTACATGGACACCGAGTTTGCACAATTCTTTGACTTGTTATTTTGGCTTTGTGTAGCGGCGGCTAAAGCCAAAATAACAAGTCAAAGAATTGGACAAACTTGGTATCCATGTACAAATTGGCCTATTTTCACTTTAAAAAAAAATCACAGAATTGCACAAACTAGGCATTGCACACTCCCTTGACTTTATCCATGGTACACGTCGACCTATTTTCACTTAAAAAAACATCAGAGAATTGCACAAAGTTGGTATTGTGCCCTCCCTTGACTTTATCCATGTACACAACAATGTATATTCAGTTAAAAAGTCAAAAGTCAAAGGAGCACCCAATTCTAGGTAAAAGTATCTTTACAGAACATTCAACTACTCAGGTTACCATAAATGAAACAACAACTTCGCAATCATACAAAAAGTACCATTCAGTCTACTCTAACTATCAAATAAACACATGTAGATGAAATTTATGTTTGGTGTGGTGGTGTATTTAATTACGGCAAAGCACACTAGGGCTATCTGCCTAAGGGGAGGGATGCCTTCATGGAGGACTTTCTAAGGGAAACTGGCTCGTATACACGTTACACATGGGGAAAACCGCGAAAACCAACACGCTCGCGGGATTAGAACCTCGGACTGAACTACCAGTGTTCAGTAACTTTACCACTCGGCCGCTGGTGGGCAAATTTATGTTTGGAGAATATGACACGTATATTAAAAATTATGAGGAAATATTCATATAGATAGGAAATTATAAAGGTTGAAAATGAGAGGGAATTAATAATAGTGACTAAAATAAAGTAAAATACTAGAATTAGTAATTTTAAAACTATTACAGAATGAAAAATTACAAACCAAGTAAATTAAAATAGAATTTTAAAATAAAGAATGACTCAATGAATAATAATAAAGTGAAATATTACATACTGAAATAAATGCTGAAAAATATCAAAATTTTAAGAAAAATACAAAATTCTGTGCAAAATGAAATGAAACAGCAATATCAATAATGTTATGCATTAATATCACAGAAAATAAATGGGATATTATGAATGGAAAATATAAAGAATAAACTGAATTAAGTGCACATAAAAATAGAAAGGACAAAAATATTAAAGCATTGAAAATAGTGCTTAAAGTAAAATAAAGCGATAAATAAAACAATGAGAAATTATAAGAAATAATTGAAAATTCAGAACATGCTGAAAACTGTAAGGGTTAAAGTATACAGAAGAAACTGAAAATTTAGAACTAAAATTTAAATAACATAATTAATGTAAAGCATGTATAAGAACAGTTATGCTAGTAAAATAGAAATAAGTTAAATTTAGGCCATGTTGAAAACTATAAAGGTTAAAATGTGTGAAAGAAATAAAAAACTTTATATCTAAAATTAAGTAAAAGTCATGGGAATCAATATTAAAGACATGAATGCAAAAGAAAGAAGAACTCAAAAAAGAAATTACTGAGAATAGATATGAGGAGGAATTAACAAATAAAAGGGTAAAATGATCAGAAGACGATGAAAAATATAAACACTAAAAATCCTAAAATTTATGTTAAATAACTGAACTTACCGCTGAAAAATAAATAAAAGATCTATAATTTTGAATCAAATTTATATGCCAAGCCTTCCTTATCTCTCATGCTGTCCTCAGGTATTTTAACTTAAAAGTTAGATGGTTCCTTGCTCACCCTACTGGCTTGCTGCATACTGTGACTGTGTCTGAAATCCCTTATTGATGAACTGCCACATTTTATATTACTAAAATGCTAGAAAGAAAATACAATGAATGCAGTGAAATGACATGAAATCGCATGTCCAATATTCTGATTCTAGATGATACAGAAAGTGCAATTTAGGATTTCCTTTCCATACTATTATTATGATACATGAACATTATTATTTGTATTTCACTGATATAACTGAATATGAAATTATATATAAAGAACTTAACAAAGTTGATATCAAGTGCATATTTTATTAACATAAAAGTTATGGAAACAGCAATGTACAAATACTGGAACATGAACACAAAACAATGAAATGACATTAGCAGATGAGATGCATACATTTCATTTCATTTCATTTACTGTTAAATTTAACAATTTATTGACAACAATCCTACAGCAACATACAGCTGACAAGCACAAAACGATGATGCACCTTGATAAATCACAAGCTAGTTGATGAAAGTTAGACCATATGTATTGGCAGCTTTTGGGCTGTGAAAGATAAAATGAGTCTTTTATAACTTCATAACTCAAGCCAGGGCTTTTAATTTTTTAATGTATTATGGTTAATATGATTGATCAAGTTTTCTTCATATTAATTTCTCTGATACTGATGAGCAAAAGCGCTTTGAAAGCACTAACATGTTACTTTAGTATGATCAAATGCAAGAGTGATGGGCAGTTAGAAATCACAAAACAGTAGCACTGACTAATTCAGCACATAAATACTGAACAGTGTACATAGAAGCTATAATGAATCATTAACACAGATCTGAAACTATTTTAACAGATTACTTCACAATATAATTATACGCAACATATAGACTTAGACAAATATAATTTTTAATAACAGAAATATGTTTACAATACGTTCTTTTAGCATACTTACTTATTATTACACAGAATTAGAATTAAATAATAAATTAAATAACTAATATTTTAAATCAAGTCTAACAAAAATGATTGGTAATAAAACAGCACATATACCTCTTTATGGACAAGAACATTGCTCATACAATGTTGTGAAGAATATAACTGTTTCGATTACAAGCTCTTCAAAGAAATGCAAATCACAACACATATATATGCAAACACAGAAAACACATAAATGCTACACTTTAATTTTGAGCAAATATTTTCAGCAACACTGTTATGATGCTGTAGTTCTGTTGTCGATCTGAGAGAAATAATTGTCCTTAATATAAAATTGAAAATTTTGTGGGATAAAAGCATGCAAGTTATAAGCAAAAATAATGATAAAAATAGGTTTATAAAGTTATAGAATACTTTTCTTTTCTTTTTCTTTTTCTTTTTTTTTTTTTTTTTTTTTTTTACATTTTAAAGTACTGGCATAATTTCAGGGCTACAAAGTGCTTTCAAACTGATGCAAAAATTTTTTAGCTCTTTTCTTAAATTCAGATAAAAATAGAAAAAAATAACTGCATACAGAAAAAAAGATATGGAATAGTGAAACAAACTGTACAAAAATTTTGTATATTTTGACTTAAATAAAATACTTTCAAAGCAAAATACACTCCATGTTTATGCTTTTAATAACTTGCCTAAATAAAAAACATCAAGTGATACTGGATATGCATAAATAAAGTTTACAAATTTTATACAGAATTTTCAGTAACTTAAATAATTATATACTTCATATTGTGGACAGACAAGCAACAGTAATAAACATAGTGAGTTAAGCTGGGTAATGTTCTAAGCATAAAACAAAAGTTATCCTCTTTTGCTAAAACAAAAACAAAACAAGAAGTTGGAAGGGTTTTTTTTTTTTTTTTTTTTTTTTTTTTTTCCCCTCTCTTTGAGTCCATTTCACTTATTTTCTTGAGACACAGCAAAATATTCTGTAATACTTCCATATTTGAAAATAAATTATTCTTTCTTGTCCTTACTTTTATTAAAACAATAAATTAAAAATATTGTGTATATAACAAAACTTAAACTAATAGCTGCTAAGACCGTACATAAACAGATTAAGCTCTGGATGGCGATAACGATTTTTCCTTAACCATTCTAGAACTTCCTCTTCTTCAAGCAGATTCCCTAGACATAAGATAAATAAATTCAATGGCATGAGATGTTTATGCTGTTAAACAAATAAATGATTGTTAAATTTAATGTGTAATTTTCATTTTTATGTTTAGTCTCAAAATTTTAGTTATTAAGGGTACAACTTATTTAAAATATTTTTAACAGGACAAATATATCTGTACTAAAACATTACTTCTATATATTGAAGGGAATTTCTTTCTAAAATAGACAAGAGCTGGAAGTTGTGCAATTCCATACTTTTTAGCATAACGAGGATCTTTAATTTTCACAAACATTATTTCGAGATCATCTGCTTCATCATCAATGCGTTTAAGTTCTTGTAGAACTTCATCACATTTTGGACAATTGTTTTCATCTACAAACATAATCATTTTGTCATTAAAAAATTACATATGTGTAAACTGTGTTAAGTAAAGCAGCTGCAGAATAAAAGCATTCAATTACAGATATTTAATAATAAGTACTTATTTGTGTAAAATGCAGAAAATTTGAAACTTCTTGTTAACATGCATTTTACACTTTCCTGTTTATGAGTGGAATACAAAAGATATTTTTCTGGTTAAAAATAAATGATCTTGGGAACAAATTTATTGCATAACTATACTAGGCATACATTATGCATTTTTGTTACTCTGATATTAGATTATGTTAACTTCATTTTTTATGAATGACTTAGGTACAAAAATAAATGTTTCAGTTTTAACTTAGGGAAAAAATAAATGTTTCACTTAAATTCTTAACTTAGAACAGCCAATTGACTTCTTTTACTTCAGTTTTCAGATACCTGAAGAATCGTCAGTCTTTATTACCATGGGTTATTGGGATTATACTGGATTACAACAAATGGATTTACTCATATGGTGATTTCAATTTCCTATTTATATTCTAAATGATGGCATGAAAATAAGTTTATACATAAACATATCATTTTCTACAGCGATTAATGATCAATTCTCTCCTTAAACAATGTAAACAGACAGATGCCATTGATAATGGTTTATAAGACTGCAGAAGGTTTACATTGTTGCTTCATTTATATATGGTTTGCTTTTGGTTATTTTACTTGTAGCAGAAGACATAAAAAAAATCTCATTTTTGCATTCAGTTATAAGGTATTTCTCCTGCCTTCTTAGCATGCCTTCATAATGTAGTGGTCAGCATGCTGGGCGCATACTCCAGAGGTCTGTGGTTTGATTCCCAAAGAGGGCATTGCTCATTTTTCAAGTCCCCTCCTTCCAATTAACCTAAAGACTCTACACTGGCACTCGAACTAAAAAGGGTGGTGGATGATGATTTCCACACCCAGGATTTGGTGTTTGAGTCCCCTAAAAACACTAAAGTCTTGTGTTGCCAATTAACCCAATGACTACACTGCCACCCGAACTAAAAAGGGTGGTGGATAATGATTCTCCACACCCAGGATTTGGCGACTAGGTCCCTTAATCCCCAGTCGCCCTTTAAAAGGGGACATATATAAAGTATTTCTCCTGCCTTCATGGTGTAGTGTCTTCCCGGCGAAGGCATCGCTCATTTTTCAACACTCCTGCTTCGAAGATACCTAACGTCTCTACAAGTGATGAGTTATTCTCTATCTCATGTAGAGTGAAAACACACCAAAAATTCACATTAATTGGAATAATGAAAAAAACTAACACAAAGTCCCCAAACAAATCAACTCCATGTTTTTTAATCATGCTTTTAAAATTTTCACATTTATCAGAATTAATACATACTTTTTAATATGAAAAAGAGATAGCCTAATCTATGTAAAAATAATTAGTAAAATTTCTCAAGGAGATGCTATTTTAGTACCACTAATGAAATTAAAATTTTACTGCACAATTAAAGTTTGCTGTGAATAAGACTAACAAAAATGGAAGCACCTGACATTTCAATAAATTGCATAAAATATCATGCAAATATTACATTTTAAGTGAATTTTTGACATTCTGAAAAAATATGCAATGGACTACTATTAATGTTGATACTATTTCATAAATGGATTTTTGAAAGTAGATTCATACAATTATTTATAGGCTAGTATTCCTGCAACTAGAGTATTATTGATTTTCCTAATGCACTTCCTCAACTTCATCTGTACAACATTGGGGCTATATTAAAATAGATACTTTATTCAAAATGCATTTAAAAATAATTCTGCAGTATGTACATCATCAGGACATGATGTATACAAAAATAAGCCATTCTCATCTCATGATCTCAAAATTATCTTTAAAAGTTTTATCTTATCTATATACATATACAATTCTAAATATTTTTATACTTAACCATAATTTACTTACAAAAGAACACTGCAACAAACTCATTGTCCTCTAAAAGCTTCTCCAGCATCTTTCTATTAACTTCTTCAATTTCATCTTGAATTTCAAACACATCATTGCTTGTTAGCCACTTAAGGAGAGCTTCTTCATCATACAAATCTCCTAATATATTCAAATAATACATATATAAGAAGTTATAGAAGTATTTAGCATTCAGAAAACTTTTCAGAGTATGTAAGAACTCAATGAACATTGTTATTTAACAATATAAAATAGTTTTCAATATCCTTTTGTTTACAAAAGTTAAATGGAAAAAATTAATTAATAATTAAAAATTCATTAATAACCATAGTATCATAACTTTTTATATTTTTTACCGATATTTATTAAGATACACAAAGTATACTTTTCAGAAGTCAAAATTAATTATCAAGAGTAATGAATCAGAAATTAGTTAAGCATACCATCATAGAACACAGCTACTTGTTTGCTGAAAAAGGCTACAGCAGGAAGATTTTCAACATTGTACTGCTTTGCTGCTTCAGGATCAAAAATCTTAACGAGATCAATACCAAGGATATCACATTCATCATCAATATTTTCAAGTTCCATCAGAACCCTTTCACATTCATGGCAGTCAGTTTTATCTAAAAAGTATAATTCTAAGCTTAATATCAGTCCAGCTTATTCTAAACAATAAAATCATAAATCCGTAAATTTTATACTTTACTACACAGAATATGTGCACTTCCTTCTAAAATTTACCCACAAAATAGATTTCTTTGTCAGTCTAATACCTAAAAAATGTTTAGTACTTCATATTACAGGAGAAATGAAAAGATATTTAGGAAATATGTTGCTGCAATTTATACTCTTTCTGCAATACTCATCTCCAAGTGCAAATAATACAGAAAAGAAGAAGCACTCATTATTCATATGGATAGCAACAATTTAAAAATATAAAACAAATTATCTTAAGAGCTTACATGCTATTAAATGAAATGAAGTAAAAAGTTTTACACCATTTCGGAAAAATAAAGAAGTTTTAGTTTATTCAAACTTCTCATCTAGAGTTGGTCTGACTGCTTTACAAAATCTTATACATTATAAGAATTAAAAACTCAAAATTAAAACATGTCAATTGATAATTAAACCTACTTTTAAAAAGGTACTGGGGAAAACTATTGAATCAGCTAGGGTCTGATTGCTTTACAAAATCTTATACATTATAAGAATTAAAAACTCAAAATGAAAACATGTCAATTGATAATTAAACGTACTTTTAAAAAGGTACTGGGGAAAACTATTGAATCAGCTAGGATATACAACACATTTCATTTTCACAGCTGATGAGAGAAAAACGGCCAAAACGCCTACACACTGCCGACTAAAAGTCAAGGAATGAATAATTTCCATCTACAGCATTCAGAAGATGATGTGAAAAAACAAGAATTGAGTATAAAAAATAGGTATATGTTAGAACAATGAAGCCCTGATAATACTTTGTTTTCCGGGGAAATTGCAATACTATGAAAGAACTATTAGACCTGAAATATGGTTAATTTATCATCAGGTTTGGTTTGGTTTGGTTTATTTTAATATGGTAAAGGACTCAAGGGCTATCTGCCTAAGGCTATCTCATAATATTTTATAAAAAATGGTTATATAATGTTAGAACACCGCAGCCCTAATACTTTATTTTTCTGAGAAATAGCAATATTAAGAAAGAATTATTGGACAGACCTGAAATATGGTTAATTTATCATTAGGTTTGGTTTATAGGAAAGCACTCGAAGTCTGCCAGCCTAAGGGAAGGGATACTTTGTGAAGGATTTTCTATGGAAAACTGGCTCATATACATGTTTCACATGGGAAAACCATTGGGTTCTGGTTTTGCGTGAAAATAACTAAAACACAGCCTTTTTATTTAATCAGCTTTGGTGACCTAGCTGTTTTGTTTACTTAAAATTACAGTGCCTTAGCATCAGTCAATTTTCGTTAGCATAATGCCTATCATTTCAATATCAGCCATCTGTGAATAATGAGTAATGAAAAGAAACAACTCATATGTTGAAAGACTGTGTTAACAAAGTACAATAAAAAACATATTAGTGTTCAATAGGCCATTGTAGCCTTAATTTATTGTCAGATCAAATGATTAAAATTACAGCTGCCTACCCCGTTTGTTATCAAAGAGGACATAAATAAAAAATCTCGTCCACTGCATCCAAATCAGTTGTTAGCATAATGCAGTATGAAAGAAACTGAATGCAAAGCGAATAACACTGTGACTAACTGCTGAACTCTAAAACAGGAAGAATCATATGATTGAAAGACTGTGTTTCTCATACCATGAAATCACACGTGTTCAGCAGATTTTTACTACAATAATCTATATTTAGAGACAATGAACGGAAGAAAGTTCGAAGAATTGACATGAGGGGGCTGGAATACTTACAGGTATGACAGAACAGGAAGAAATGATAGCAAATTATCTTCTCTAAAGAGTATATGAGTATATATATGATATATCCTTCTCTCTATATGATCAGTGAACAATGGGGCTGAATTTTCGCTTATCAATACCATGGCGATGCCATCTAAAAGTCATACTACCAAACATCACACTGGCCCTATCATCATCATCATGGAAAGAAGTTCTATCACATTCCCTTTGTCCTCTCATTTGCATACAATAAGATGTCAGTGTCATATTCTTGAGGTGCTAGATCTACGTTTTACCATTTCTATAAAATGTCTTTACATTCTTTCCAATATATAACAGTTCTAACTCATGGCTTTCTTATGATGCATTTCTCCTGAACAGCAATATGTTTAGATGGATAAAGCTTAGCTGCCAACCTTGAAATATAAGAAACCACGCAATTTTTGCAATGCGTGGCGAAGCAACTTCAAATGGACTCCATTGACAAATTTGATGCAAAGTCACTTAATACAGTAAAATGTAGGTCATTAAATTTTGACATAAAATATATTAACATTTAATTCACTAATTTAAATAAAAATTTGATTAAAAATTTTTGGGGGCTAACTGCCTTCAATTTTTTTGTTTTCTCTTGAAATTTTGTACTGATGAAAATCTAGTAGGGGAAAAAGCTGATGTTATTTATGTTACAAAAGAAAAAACAAGGTACTGTAATTTTTATTTTATATATTTGTTTGGCAGCATCTCAGAATGTCGAGGGCTATCCAGAAATAGATTACGTTTGGAATAAAAAATAAACAAAGTATAGGAAACAAATTTTATTATATCAGATGAAAGCCACACTCAAATACTACTTTTCTACTAGTCACCATACAATTTAAGCATTTATCGTAGCGATGTACGAGCTTGGAAATTCCTTCGTCGAAAAATTCGGCCGCCTGCGCCTTCAACCACTTCGTTACCTCTTCTTGCTTTTCGCTGATGATTTCGTGCAACAAACTTCGCGAAATTTGTGGAAAACTCAAAGAAAGTCCGTTATGTGAATTTCGATTTTCACGGACTTTAGCATCGACTTTTCGAGAAGTTCGGCGGTCACTATGCTGGGTCTCCCACTTCGATCTTCGTCGTGAACATTGGTTCGGCCATTTTGAAATCTTATGACCCACTGACGCACTCCACCTTCAGATAATGTTGTCCCCATACACTTCACGAAGCTGCCGATAGATTTCTATCGGTTTACAGTTTTTTGCAGTCAGAAACCTTATTACTGAGCGCACCTCGCAGCTCGCGGGATTTTCAATTAACGCAGACATTTCAAACCGTCACAGTATCTGAACGGAGCACAGCACGAACCTCTCACTAGCACGGCTAGATGTAGACTGAGCTGCGCAACGCTCTGACCCCAAGATGGCCGCGCTAGCCCCGCCCCTAGCGGACACAGACGAAAACGTAATCTACTTCCTGGATGGCCCTCGTATTTCAACTTCTACTTTGAGAAGCTCAGTTGAGCGATTTGTTGACGACTTTGTCATATAACTTAACTTGCATTAAAAGCATGGGTTAGAAAAACGTTTAGTAAGATTCTTTTTCAGTTTTAGTATATTTAATCTTAAAATGCAATAGGTTATGGTTTTTACACATGATACATGCGGAAAAAATGATAGCAGAGTTTTATTTTTAATGCAGAAGTTTTTATAATGTTAAGAGAATAGCGTTAACAGTAACCACGTGATCGGCAAGAACGGCAAAGTTTTTTCTTCTCATTATTCAAATCCTGAAATCATATTTTGTTTAAAGAAAGCCCTAAAGGGAAGTATTCGATTAAAGTGGACTAAATATTCAAGTTCATCTTTTTTTTTTTCCCCCGTTAAAAGTGAAGAACGTTATAGAAACGCTAAGAGGGAATAATGGAGGTAGGAAAGTTGCAGTTGAAGCCATTAAGTGGAGAATCGGATTGGTCGATGTCAAAGTACAGAATCACGTTCGCTTTAAACTACTATAACGAGTCCTTGGAAGTTGTTGAAGGAAAAATAGTTAAACCACATCAGCCACCTGAAGGAGCTGTTGAAGCAACTTTGAAGAAATACCCAGATGATCTTTCACGATATAAAAAGGCCAACACTTGTGCCATGATGGTACTTAATAAATTCTATGACAGAAGAAACCATGCAGAAAATTATGAAGTTTGATACTGCTAGAGAGGTATGGCTAGAAATTCATAAACTTTTTGAAGCCACATCTGACAATCAGTTATATAATATTTGTCTACAATTTTTCCAGTGTAAGTGGACAATGAATGATAGTATGGCTGCCCATCTATCAAAGCTGAAGAATCTTTGGAATGAATTACATTTAGGTCTTCAAAGAAAGCAAGAAACCCAACCACCAAATTTAGGAATTTGCAAAATTTTAGACACACTACCTCAAGAATACCATTCTTTTAAGTCAAGTTGGATGCTTCTCAATAAAGAGAAAAGAACAATTGATGAGTTAACTACTCAATTATGCTCTCAAGAAAGAGAATATAAAGAAGAAAAATCTAAAGGCGATGTCCAAAATCAAGATGCATTAGAAGCTAAGCAAGCAAATAAAAAGAAATTTCAAAGGTAAAAGCAGATAAGAAAATGCAACTACTGCCACCAGGGAGGAGATTGGATTAAATTTTGTCGAAAATGGATAGAAGATGGAAGACCACTGAAACCCAGTCAAAATGATAAAGTCTCAAGAAAAGATGAATGTTATAGCAAATATGTCCTTATTAGCTCTAGACGAAGCAATTCTTTTCTCATCTGAAAAGAGTTGTTATGACTAGGTTTGTGGATAATGGTGCTTCAAAGCACATTACCAATAATAGTGATTACTTCACAGAATTTGAAAAATTTGAAACACCACTTGGAATTACGACTGCAAATGGCAAAATACTACCAGCTGTTGAATAACCTTACTGCTGTTGAGTCCATACTCTTCCCTTCCATCTGATGACTTTTTTAATTATTTTTAATATTATTTAACTTCTAAAGTCCTGTATGTCTGCTAGGTATCGATTCGTGTAATGTGCAGTATAATGAACACACAAAATTCATTTTCAAGTTTCAAAGCATTATCTCAAATACAGCAAACTTAACATTTCTGCCCAAATAGATATAACACCTGAAAAATTTACCTCATCTTGATTCCAGCTGTTTTGTCATGGATATTCAA